TCCATTTAGTGTTCTGATTTCGATCAAGCTTTACTGGTGATCAGGCCTTCGTCGAACGTTCGCACCCTTCATGCCTTAGCGGATTTCGCTAGACGTGCCGGACAGGGAGGGTGACATTTCCAGATCTGGTCATGTACTACGGGTTCTACAACGTTTTCGTGGTCTTTTTGCTTGGTGATATTAAATGTAAATGTCGCATGGTGAGCTTAGGTTGTTCAAACTTGTCTAAGAATCTTTGATACCCTTAAAAATTAGATGCTTTCATATCTTCCTTGTAATATTCTTCTTGACTCTTCTAACTTTCTTTGATTCAGTGAACAGAACGCTGCCTTTGAATCTTCCAGCTTGCTGTCGGCAAATTAAAGACGCAGATTGTATGAGCTTAAGATAGTGATTTTTGTGGAGTAAATGCGACTTTGTGATTTTCATGTTCGCGGAATATCCGATTCTTCTCGAGGCAAAACTGAGGTGGACAGTGCCCTCTTAACATCTCAACACAGAAGTTTCTTTGGTCAGTTACGCTAATTTTCTTATACTGCCTTTCTCACAAAATTATAACACAGAGAAATGTGCTTCGAGGACTCGAGAAAGTTTAGGGCTCTGAAATTTTCGATTATTTCGGTGTATATAGTGATGGGATGTAGAGCGAAGCAGTAAAAAGGTGGGAGAACGTTCCATTCAGCGTCTCAGTTTGTTTTGAGTGGTTTTCGTTGCATGCTTAATTATATTACCTTGTTGACAATACAGTGCTCGGAACGCGACCGAGTTGTTACGTGGCGTTGAATCCTTCGTAACTGATCTAAACTCGTTTTCGAATGCAGTGCGCGACAATATCATTTTCCTTTAAGCTAAAATGAGTTCATCCTATGAATATTGGCTTTCTACGCAAAAGGCATTGCGCAAGCAACATTTTCTCTACCCAGCAGGGACAAGTCTTCGCTGCTGCCGTTAGCTGGTTCTTGTGCCTCGCCGCATTCGAAATTTCCCGATTAACACCCACTGAACAAAGCTGTGTTACGGGAAAGCAAATGCGAACATTCATATTGCACTAACCTAGTATTTGGCTTAGTAACTGTAAGGACATTCTGATCTCTGGGCAGTTTTGTACTGTGAAAATTGGTGAATTTCTTGATTCTGTTTTTTTTTCGGTGATTCTGTAATATTTAATTTTTGTTTTAATTTACATTTCCAATATTATTCCTGTAGAGCCACTAGTTTTTTTTATGCCATTTACGAGATTCACGTGCAATTGTAGGGTTTTCTTATGATAATATTCCTCGATGGAGATTGATTTAAATTTCGAGAAGTTCAAAAGAGTGTGACTTACTGTATCATGCACTGGCTTTTTTGATTATTCAGCTCTCTTGTTTTCACTATCGATTTATTCTGTTGAATTCTGATAAATTGTCGCTATGTTCCTTTCGAAGCAGACGCTTTCCTATTCTTAAGAGAACTGAACTTCAAGTAGAGAAATGGCCAAAGAGTATTTGAAAGGCCAAAAAAAAGAGAAAAAGTTTTCATCTTCATGCGAGCATTGTGTCGATACTGTTTCGTGGAAAATGGGAGTGGAGTTGGAGCTCATATCTTACAAGGGAAGGATGCCAGGTCTCGACGTGCGGGGCGTTCAGGTCTTGAGTGGCGAACATATTATTACAGATGTGTTTTTGAATACTGATCTGCAAAACGTCTTTTCAAATCTGCTTGACGGTCCGGCTGAACGATTACGGGGGTTGTTTCAAATGGAATGTCTATACGGAGACAATCTCAGCAGGTTGCGTGAAAAAAATGGCAAATTTGGAAAGTGAGTTTTTGGATTATACGAAATCACATCTGTGAGAAAAGTCTCACTACGAGGCCATGTCGAGCTGGGATCAGGGTCAACCCTACGTTGGTACAAGTAGACGTAGGGTTGACCCTACTCCCAGGTTTTAAGGGAAAAATGAGTTGTGAAGGAGGGGGTCGTCATGAAAATATGTTGTGAAGGAGTCGAGGGTCGCAAAAAGTCCCAACGATAGGACCGACCCTGGCTGGGATCCTTTCTTTGTTGGAGTAGAAGGATCCCATTCAAAGTGACTATTTGTGATGAGAATACTCTGCCAGATGTGCTTTGAGGTGCTGATCTCAAACCTGCGGGATTGCTCTCTGATCGATATTGCGAAGGCTTTTCATCTTCGCGTTTTGAGATAGAGTTGCTGGCAGCCCAGGAAACATGTCAGCTATTGACCTAATCCCTGCGGCGTTTAATGCGCTAGGCGATTCGCCTAGGTAGAAGGCGAATTCCGCCAGAGTCTTTTTGCTTTCCCTTGTGAATAGGTAGTTTTCGTACAACGTCGACAATCGTGGTCCGTATGACTTACCAGGAAGGTCTTTCAGGGCGTGACAAGCTTTTTGAAAACGGTCTTTTGCATGATATAGGGGCAGATGCGGGAACCACAGAACCATGTTCAATTTTTCCTGAACGGCCCTCTGAATACCAGAAAAGGAGGTCCCTAGTTCGATTCCTCGTGGTAACAAATTTTTGCATTTCGAGTTGACGTGCCAAAATTCGCGCAAAATGGAGTTAGAACCAACCAGAACAATCAGAACTCCATTTTGCGCGAATTTTGGAACGTCAACTCGAAATGCAAAAATTTGTCACCAAGAGGAATCGAACTAGGGACCCCCTTTTCTGGTATTCAGAGGGCCGTTCAGGAAAAATTAAACATGGTTCTGTGGTCCCCGCATCTGCCCCTATATCATGCAAAAGACCGTTTTCAAAAAGCTCGTCACGCCCTGAAAGACTTTCCTGGTTAGATCGAACATTTGATGAGTTTGAGTTCATTTCAGTTGCGCTTTCAAAAGTTAACTTGCATGTGAAAAGAAATTAACCTGCTGGGAGGGCCAGCCGCACTAGATGGAGTCCTTTTTCACCGCATTTCTATCCGTCAAAGGTGTTTGTATCTCTCCAACAGTTGTTGCTATGACTTGCAAAACTTTAACGATTCACGAAGGAATTAGCTGATTTCTGACGAGGAATTCTTGATCTACTCACAAGTATGATGGCAGATGATACCAGAACTGACAATAAGTGCGGTACTTTATCAAACTAAAGATTCGTTTCGATCTCGAGGAATCTCTTCTTCAAAGTGGATTCCGGTTTTTGTACGGGAGCTGTTGATTTCGCTGACCTAATATACATTTTTGCAAGACAACGTTTTTGAAATTGCTGTGACTGCTTCTTACTTGATGGTAGAGTCTCCTGAAAGTGGTGATTGTGGACTGTTTGCCAGCGATTGCGCTCTGTGTCTCCACTCCTGCACTCGGATCGACCGCCTCCGGCAATGTGAGCGATTTACCCAATGCCTGTAAATCCCTTTAATTTGATGCTCACAGTTGCTAAGTTTTGCCGTTGTTGACGTACTCTTCATAAAAGTTTGAGGAAATTTTAGCGCTACCCCAAGTTACGGGGACATCTTCAAGGGCTCACTAAGATTGAAATTGCGTGTGAAGAGTGAAAACGTGCAAAAGGAGTGAAAAGTGGTCACACTTGTTTGGATGTGTCTCTCCTGCCTGAGGTTAGTTTGAATTTAACAATAAGGGTTCTTACGCGCGTTGGAACATGCCACGTCCTTCTACCCCGCATAGTGCCCCCGTATCTTGCGATAGCGCCGAAATTTTTTTCTCGATTAGGTGAAGCACTGACCATACTGATTATACCACACCATCCGTTAGGATCGATTCTTTGAAGCGGCTTTCTAAGGTGGCGAATGAAGAAGAACTCGCAGCCGAGCACAATCACTGAGAAGATCTGAAAATAACCGCATTTACATTTAAAGGCCTGTGTTGGTGCTCAATAAAGAACGAACTATGCCTCCAGCGAGTAAGAAGAACGCCGAGAGAGAAGTTTCTATTCCCAGTGGAGCAGAGTGAGTTTGACCGTGACTGTCCGGTGAGCAAGCACCCGTCAGCCAGAAGTTTGCTAACCTTTCGAGATCACCCTGGAAAGAAATTAGACTTGGTCGCTTGCTGTTATCAGGACCTTGCATGCTACCTTTTTGTTGGTATTGTAACATGTATTGGTTGACCATAGCTGTAGGGCGAATTTTTCGGGAAACCGATACCGTATCCCGTCATGCTTGCCCATTTGCCAACCTGAACTTTGGAGATTACTGGATCTACACCATATCGTGTATCGAACCATGCTCACCATCATAAGTTCACAGTTAGCGTCTTTACCGGCCCAGTAGTCGAGCACGACGGCATCGTAGATGAACGCATCCAACCCTCTGAAAATTTCACTAGCACCTGCTATATGGTACTTTAGGTGTCGACCAAGCTCTAGAAGCTTGATGCACACCTAGGGTAACCCATACTACCGGGCCACTACTGATTTCTGAAAAGCTTCCAATTTTATAGGCTGTCAAGCTGATATTGGATGGGCAATTTTCTGGCCTGCTAGTTTCTGGTTAGGTCCTGAATATTATCTCTTCAAAAGAGTTGCGGAACGTGCTTGGCACGTTAAAAAAACTGTAGGGCGTTTCAGCGAGCAAATTATGTTGTACCTAAAGTAGGTCTCTGAAAAGAAGTTGAAGTGCCATTCCCTTCACTTATGGCTCGCTCAGTTGGGTTCACATTTCGTAATTTGAGAGTTCGTCATCCGTCAACCTAATCTAAACTGAATAGTCACTCCAACGTTTTTCTTAGGCGGTCTGTTCTTGGCAGAAGTGGTGCAGAACAAGTGGCGCGCTCACCACGCGAGCGGTCCGGGGATCAAATCCTGGGTCGTGAGTCGCCCAGGCCAACCAAGCCTTCCATCCCTCCGGGGTCGGTTAATTGGTACCAGACTTGTCTGGGAGGAAAAACACTGACTTGTACATCGGCTGGCCCCCGCAAGTCATTGTATAGGCCACATCGCATTCAAACGCCACTACGAATCCTGGATGGAAGTAGAATGCGTGTCGCATCAAAAAAAGATCAATTAGCGCCGAATGTCTTGTCCTTTATCTCCATTCCTGTTCTACTCCAGAAGCCATAGCATTTGTCTCAGAGTATGGGCTCATCTGTAAGATCTATGGCTAATGGGAGCAGAAAAGCAACATGTAGTGGGAGGGGTTTGAAAAATCGTATTTAAAACTTTGTTTGGTGTTACACATCAGAGCAACAACAAGATTTTCGGATCATATTCGGATGTACTCAGTTTTTCAGGTCTCTCCCCCCTTGAAAAAAACTTTCAAAAAATGCTCACTCATTTCTGACGGCTTCGACACCGGCAGAGATGTTGTCGTGAAAGAATTTATTCTTCTTAACATATTCATGCATCGTTTTCCAGTTTCGTTTCATCGTCTCATGAGTGTTTCCACCATCAACGGTGCCATAACGGAAAGGTGGTTGGTGCATGTCTGGGTGGGTGATCTGAAAAACTCTCACGAACAACTAGTCAGAGGTTTGAGCAACCCGATATTCTGCTCACTAGTGGATCATGGATTCCACTGAGGTCGTAGAATTGCACTCTTGTAATCATAAATGCTGCCAGGTTCGCTGTGTATACTGCCAGGAATGTGAGACCGAACGCCGCCCACACGAGAGCCATGCAGCGGGACACCGTGGATTTTGGAACATCTGAAAATTTAGAATGTTTTGCTGTTACCAAGTACGAGACAAGTAGTAGTGGGAACAGGTGCACTTAAAGCCCTCAACTTCCATTTCCTTGTAATTTGCTTCACTTAGTAGGGATTACTTCCAGATGAGGAGAGCTTGCTAAATTCTCTGTCTTGCTCGTTGAAAACCCCCATATGGGTCGTCGGAGACGCCTTTGAAAATTGACTGGAGGCACAGTTCCCGATCGAAATTTGCTGCTATTTCACCGAAGGTGAAAGTGGTTGATGCGAAGGAGAGCACCACTGAAGAAAAAAAAAACAAAGGAGCCATCGGAAATATTGGAATTTTGAAGGCCTCCCCTGAAAGGTCGACGAT